CTTTTTCTTTATTCTTATCATATCGGTATGGTTTGTGGCGAACTGGCAGTGAATGAATCTCCGGTGTCGATACTATGGTTAGTAACTTGAGTAAATCCGGGAATATCACTAAATAACGAAGCAAATTCACTTACCACTTGTCGAATTTTTTGTTGCTCTTCCTTAGGCAGGTGGTCGAGGTTTAACGTTGGTGGTTCTGTTTTTCTTCTCGAACTGGTTTCATCGTCAGCTTAAGGGACGCTTCGTTAAAATCCAGCGTTGCTTGTGCCTCTGAAAGAAAATCTATCCTAAGATGGCATGTGCTTGCAATTCTTTACGATAAAAAAAACATAATCTTTACTTGTTCGTCCTTGATACGAACGTATAGCGGTAATTTACCTATGCACTTGCATCTTTCTCCTGCGCAGCTAACACTGTCGTATTATCCGAATTATATATGCGATATTTACGGAAAATACTTCCTAAAAAAATCTTCTGCCACACAGGAACACTGCGCGCCTGTATCCAGGAGTGCGGTGGCTGGGATGTTATTCACCAACACTTCAATCTTTGGAAGAGTCAAATTTTTCACCATCACTGTATTTAACTTGAAGGAAGAGGGGTTTTCTTGGCCTTCGGATTTCCGCACCCTCCCGTCAGCAGAAATCCGTTTTAGTTTAAATCCTGTTTTTCCTTTCCATGCTTCCTTCTTTTTCCACTGGCCTTCAGACTTTTTTCCTGGCTATTGAACTGTCGGACGTTCGCCGGTTGTTTTTGGATACTCGGGTTTCCTTGCCCACTGATTCGCTTTGCTTCCGTAGCCGTGTTCTTGACTTTGCTGTGGTCTTGGCGCACCAAATTGGTTTCGTTGTCATACTGGCGTCTTCTTTCAATGTCCGCCGTTCTTCTACTTTCAAACTGGATTGCTAGCTCAAATAACTTTTCCAGTGTAGTAGTCGGATTCCTTAATTCAATAAAGTCTTGTACTTGGGGAAGTAACCTCGGCAAAATCACTTGAATTATCTCAGGATCCGGACGGTTTCCATACAAGAGTTTGAAGACGTGAATTTTTCTTAAAATAAAGCTTAGAGATTTTCAATTCGTTTTCTGATATATGCTGAAAAGTTCCGTTTCTAATTTTGCACGATCTCTTACGACAGGGAAGGCTTTTACTAAGGCAGTCTTAAAATTTTCGTAAGTATAGGTGGGACTTCCCGCTTGACCCAAGAGGCTTCTGCCTATACATTTGAACCAATTAAGCGCTTGGCCCCTCAAAGCGCTGGTAGCTAAGGTGCCTTTCTGGAACTCATGCACGGGATACAGCATGAAGTGGTCATCCAATTTTTCCAAAAAACTGGTTACCGGTGAGTTTCCATTAAATGTTGCTTCTGGTTTCATCGATGCGCGCATGGTCTGGACGATGTAACCAAATCCTTCCAGGGCGGCAGCTGGCATTTCTGGATTCTGAGCCGCTTCTGCAGGCAGCACAGGTTCTTCTTGAAACTCGGCCATGGTTATTCTTCTTCGTTGGGCGCCACTAACAGGTTCTGTGTTCCTCCTTACTTGCTTTGGGAACATTAAATGTCCTGACTCGGAACAGGGAGCTTACTAAAGCTATGTTCAATAAATGTGGGAAGTAGACAAAACACACAGGAAGGGTATACGAAACCCTTTATTTTTCTCTCTTTACAATGATTTCCGGACTTCGGAATACAGAGACCAACCACTTGTGGTCTGAACGTAAGAATATAAAAATATTAACTAAACTCTAACTAAACTTAACTTTGGATTAATCAAACAAGTGCCTACTCCAAGATTGGCCGTATATTAGCAAAAAGCCGTATGTAGTACAGAGAACTGTTAACACTACGATACGTTTAAAATTATCAAGAGGATTAAACCTCTGGCCTTGAAGGCAACCAGCAACCGAGTAAAAACTTCTAATGGCAAGCGGCCTGCTTCTAATAACTCCTTCCTCTCTCTTCTTGGCAAAAAGCCAGAACTTAAGTACTTGGCGTTCGCAAGACAAATTTGCATAAATAAGTTAAAGCTTTTAATTCTGGTCGGAAGTAGAAAATAAGAAGTGATAGTAAAGATTTAAAATAAAATAAACGTTAGTAAAACTTAAGATCCTTACAATACAACGTATCACATTTAATAATTTAAAACAATTATGTGATACAAACGCCATAGGTTTCAGTGTTAAAGTAAACCTGATCGCCCTTACTCTTTCTTGCGGACATGTGGGTGACGCGCGCCCCGCCCACTGGGTTAGTCTATCTCTTGCAAAGTCCATGTGTCCGTTAGCTCAGATAAACCCCAGTGGAACGGCCCTTTAAAGACAAAGATTCATCCAAAAATAATGTTCGACATGATGGGAGAGAGTGGTGTGGTGTGGTGTATTTAATTATGGCAAAGCACACGAGGGCTATCTGCCTAAAGGGAGGGATGCCTTTCGTGGAGGACTTTCTAAGGGAAACTGGCTCGTATACACGTTACACATGGGGAAAACCACGAAAACGCCCATGCAGCCAGCCCGATGGGAGAGAGATTGTTGTCAAGTCTGATAGCAATTTTTCTTAATTTATTCCTTACATGTCAAACGGTGATGTGATTGGCGAAGAGTAAAACACGAGGTCTGGTTTACTAGTAGTGATTTATCTACTGCCTGCTTATGTGAAACGTTGTTAATCATTTTCAAACACATGCATTAGAGGGAAATATTTTCAATTTTTGAAACCCTTTTGTGTTGCACAGCCTCAGTTTTCTGTATCCTAACTGCAAGAAAATTCCCTCATAGCCGATCTTAGAGGAAATAAATTTTAGTAAAAAAATTATCATGAAGAAGAAAATTTTAATTTTTCTCTGCGTTTTTTTTCAACATTTGTATCACTATATGTTTTTATTCTGCATCATTATGTTATTACTAAAAACCTGACATTAGTAAAGTTCACAGTAATTAATAAAACAGTAGTGTTTCGATACAAATTAAAACAACCCACAGAACCACATTTTCTTAAAACATGCTTCTCCATTCTAACTGCTTTCGAGCTACGTCCAAGAACGTATTATGCTACTCGCATACGTAGGCTAAATAATGAGTCCTCTGGTTATTTACGGTATTTTGCATTAGGAACATTACTTTTCAGATTTGAAGTTGTTGTAACTGAAAATAAAGTTTTTGATTATTATTCAACTGATTTATTCATATGAGTTTATGGTGACTGAATATAAGTGTTTTAATGAAAAGGCAATTCCGGTGACAGAAAATAAAGGGCATAATATGCTGCACTTGTTTCTGTTCTAATAGAGATCAGAAAAAGATAACACTAGTGACAACTTGGAGTCCATAATGCAAAATGCGACATAGCGTGTTGCTGTCTGTGACTTTCATGCATACTAAAATTTTCTAGAACTTATAACGTCTCCTATTCTTTTGTAGCATAAAAATGAGCGAAACATCTTAAGACTTAATTATCACTATTTCTCGTAAAGTAGCACGAAGACTGAGAAAAGAGTATAGAGGACTTTATTCAACTCAAGTAAAAGCTAACAGAAGGCGGCACTGGTGCTTACAGAAGCCAACATTTATGACTTAAATCAAAGATAATGGATTTGACTTAACAAAGGGTAAGTTAGCCTAATGGCTACACAAGTAGAGTAGCGTGAAAGTTGGCTCTGACTTAACGTCGAAGCTTAACGGCGCGAGAATAACACAACGCTGCAAAATACAACCCTCAAGAGAATCAAATTAGAAACGTAGCTTTCACCAGACAGAATCCGCTCTAATTCTACCTTTTAAAATCTTCCTTGAAATGCTCTCTTTTATATCTCATTTGAATATCACGCGAGCTAGAAATTTACATTCTGATAGGAAAATGGGAAATTAGGAGGATAGAAGAGCAAATTAATAATAAAATAATTGGTTAATAAACTAAACGAAACCTTACAAACTTTAATAATTTTTTTTTATTTTAATTGAAAACAAAGACTTTAAATTTAATATTTTTATACTCTAATTGAAAACAAGGATATTAAATTTAATAATATTATATGCCAGTTGAAATATTAGATATTAAATTTCCTATTTTCATGAACATTTTTGTATTAAAAGTGCTGACTGTAAATAAAATTTAACTTTCAAAACTTGTATATATGCAAGGTCTCCCGTAAATGTTGCGACAAACTTCTAGAAGGAGGTAAGGCACATCATAAGGATTAAGAATTGCATAGGAACCCATGCCCAGAAACGTCACTGTACGCCGCCATGGGGTGCTGTACAGGAGAGTGCTAGTGGAAAGTGAGGATTGCTCATTCGAGCGGTAGGCACCATACGAAGAGCATTTGAATGCTGTACGAATGGGGAGCTTGTGAACATGTGGTTCTAACATGATGGAAGGTCTGCTCATTTTGGACTGGATGTTCGTAGCCATTTGAACAGATCATTCCTGCATCGATGGATTCGGCGTGGTGGACCAGTTCCCTGACCCTCACGTACAGCGGATTTATTGAGCCTTGATTTCTTTTTGTGGGGCGCCGTCAAAAGTGTCGTGTATCTCGATTCTGTAGTGTCTGAAATGGATCTTGTGGCAAGACTTGCCTGCGCAGCTGCTACAATCTCCGGGTGTGTTTGAAGATGTCCGGCAAACAATCGTCTGTCAGTTTCAGGCATGTTTAGCGTCTGAAGGTGCAAACTTCGAGCATCTGTTGTATCATTCAAGCTGTCGTACACCATTTGTATTCATGTCCAATAAATGTTTCCAATTAATCACTCTCTTGTTTCTTTTCCCATCTTCTACCTATGCTACCACTTACCCCTAACATTTCCGGACATAGTTTTCTATGCAATTCTTAATCCTTATGATGTGCCCTACCTCCCTCAGAAGTTAGTCGCAACATTTACGGGGCACCCTGTATATATACTTTTTTTTCATTCTGCGTAGTGAGATTTATTCAGAATACCTTTTCTTAAAGGTTTATCTCTTCAAAACAATTTTGATTCCAACTTTGAGCATGCACGGTTATTTAAAAAAATTACCTCTTCTTTGCAATTCTATTTCCAATTGATCTATACGCTGCACTATGGAACGCCCTTCTTGACCAGCGAAGTCCAAATCTGTGGTAGAAATATCCGGCATAGAGACAGGATGCTCGGGCCGTGCAGGGCCTGCAATGAATTCCGATTTCTAATTATTGAAAAAAATTTAAATAAATAAATCATTTAAAAGAGAGAGAGAGAAATTTGAATTACAAAGTTTTGATTAAGTGACCTAAATTTTAAACTATATTTAGTTATCATCGCATTCTTAGTCATGTAATTATAACAGTGTTCTGGAAAGAAATAGGCTTAACTTCATAGAAACTTTTGTTAAAAATAGTGTAGCAAGAATGATGAAATTTACTAAAATTCATGAAACTAGTATTTAAAACAGTGGGATAACCAGCAATGGTAGCTTTAAAATCGGAATTGTCTAAGAAAATTTTAATAAAAGAGAGCAATCATTTTTGAATATATGTTATTCATATGCCGTCATTTTCAATTCCATTGCTCTTTAAATTTTTTTAATGTCAGTGTTGTATATTTTAATGGGTAAATCAAAATTTTATTTATGAGCAAAAATGTTACGATAGCTAAAAAATTTATTTTTAGTTCTCAGCACACTTCGTAAAAATTTTCTAGGGAAATTTGGTAAAATGTTAAGATGTCAGAAAATTGCTAAAACACCACGATTTCTCCAGATGTATTTAATTACATAAATGTGAATCAAAGTTAAGTCATGTTCAAGAGAGTGCCCACCAGCAGCCGAGAGTTAAAAAGAGCTGAACACAGGGAGTTCGGTCCGAGGGCTCGAGTCTTAGCTGTATGGGCATTTTCGTGGTTTTCTGCATGTGTAACATGGATGCGGGCCAATTCCCCTTAATACATCATCATGGGACATCCCTTCCTTGCCGTGTAGTGCCTAACAGTGGAGTGCGTAATAAATATATATGAAGAAAGGTAAAACAAACAAAGGTAAAACAGCTAGTGTAATACTTTAACTAGGCAAAAAAGCAATCTTGATGTGGTGTAAATAAGATTGCTTTTTGCCTAATATAAAATTTTGCATTTATAAGCTTTAGTTTTCTAGTTACATCACTTCAAGAGCTGATTTTTCAACTTTTAAATAAAAAAGCATTTGCAGCAGTTGCATATAGTTTTAGACAGGCAAGATTAGGCAAGGCCTGAAGGTTCATGCGTTTTAAGGTCACGTTACTTTTTGGTTTTTGAATATTCAAAAGTAATAATAAACTAATAAATTTCATACCGAATATATATGATACTTTATACGTACAGATTTGATTTTGAATTTGGGGAATGCATTTTGTTACTAATTAGAACAAGTTTATGTCTTCTCTTTGAAAAATATACAAATTAGAAATTGAATGCTATGGCAGCCTAACTTGTTTGCTGTTAATTTCAGTACTTGCGTAATGAAGTCTTTGTTTACACATATTGGCCTGCCTGCGGCATAGTAACGTTGTCATCCTTTGCGCATGCGCAATCTAATCAAAAGTAGCCCGTTTAGCTTGGGATAATAGTTTCATATTTGTTTTTAATGTGTTTTTTACGTTTGTGCGTAAGAAGGTAATAAGCCTAGCAGAAAATTGTTATCACAAACTAAAAAGAAATTGTTTATTACAGCGAGTAGAAAAAGAAAAGAAGAAATGGATAATAAGAAGAAACAGAAAAAAGACACATTGGAAGAAGAGAGACTGAAAATAGACTGAGCGAAGATTCGAGCAACTCAAAGTGGAGGAAGTAGGAGTCCGGCACCTTCAATCCAAAACGCAGGTGGAGAAACCAAAGTTTCCGTCGTCAAACTTATCAGAGAAGTAGAAACTCTGACTAATCGAAGAGAGCGGAAGCATGGAATATATTTTTCGATTCTATCGAAAAAGCATTTAAGCACAAGAAATTTTGGCAAAGCGGAAATTTTATTGAAACTAATTGGAGAAAAAGCTTCAAACGTCCTCGTTTATATAAAGGACGAAGATCTGCAGAATTACAAAAAAGTGAAAGCTCTTATTCTAAAGGAATAGCAATCCACTCCTCAAACCTGATTAGAAAAGAAGATTTAAATGCATATCTATTTTGCTTCACGACTGAGAGCCACATGGGGCTATTCACTCAAGTCAAGATGAGTAGAAGAACACTCTAGGAGTTCATTATTTCTGATAAATTATTTCAAGCTTTAGATTGAGAGAAACAGCAGCACACGTTGCAATACGCCAAGGAAATAAATGATTGAAGCCGCAAGAAGTGGCTACAGGATGTGATATCTATTTCGCAACGAAACGAAAATCTTTCGACGTAGTCCAAAATGAAATGAGCGCCGAGATTCATGGACAAAACATGTACAGAAGAAAAATGTGTTCCCCCCACGCATATGAAGAGATACTTTAAACAAGAAGGACCTTCCGCGAGAAGAAAAGAATGCTATATTTGTGAAAGCTTTCAACATATCGCAAGAAGAAAGAACGAAACTGCAGTAAAGAAGGAGAAAAAGATGATCCTAGAACTTCTAGCAATTCAAATAGCACATCAAAAGAAGAAGCTTAACCTCATTCCTTCTATGACCTGAATTCGAAGGAAGTATCTTCCAATCATTGCAAAACATAGATGCTTTTATCAACTATGAGAAAACCGAAGCTGCCATAGACTCCTGGAGACAGGTAACGTTCGAACGTTCATCCCTGTTCTGAAAAGGAGGGGTAAGAAAGAAGGAGTAAAATCATGCTAATGCCTACTTTCGAACAGCCGATCGAAACAGTAGTTTGCGATGTAGCTTTTTATTATAAGAACTATGGAAATAGTTTATTTATTTAATTTTGTTAATTGCGGTGACCGATAAGCTAAATGTGCGTTGTTTAATAACTCTAGAAAGACACGAACTGTTGATTAATCCTAATGGAGAAGAATCAAACATCAACGTTTTAGAAAGAAATAATTCTGAAGAAACCTTGTTGAGTTTGTTCGCCGAGAAGCAAACAAATGAAAACATAGGACCCCCCGCCAACGCTTTTGGCGAAGAAACCTGAAGGGGAGGAAAGGGAAATGGCGAGTGCTGCCATAATCACAGACTTTTCGGCAGCCGAAAGCCTACGAAGAGAGCAGTTGAATTGCTCGTCCGTAAGAGAGGCATGGAAGTTAGCTTAAGAGGGAACAATTTATTTGTTGATCATCTACATCACCAAGAAAAAATACTGGAACAGACAAGTTTTCTAGTTGGTGCTTTCTATCAGTAGAAGAATATGTGTGTTGGAATTATCACATAATTCCATTTTAGAAGCACATCTTGGAATAAAGAAAGCAAAAGAGAGGTTCCAATACGCTCCATTTTTTCCCTGGATTAGAACAAGACTTCGAAATGTTTTGTAAAACACGCAAAAATTATCAATTGAAGAGATCGGACAAGATCACATCTGTCACAAGACCAGAATTACATTTGGAAGTAGTAAAAATATGGACGTAATTCCCCCTACTGAAGCTCCTTCTGCTAGAAAACAAAACATAAATACGTGTTATGCTTAGTAGATACGTGTTATACTTAGTACATTCCAGATGGCCAGAAAGCAATCCCACTGAAAAGCTTCACAGCAAAAGCCACTTGCAACTCATTTTTGCAGATATTTATGAGAACAGGAATTCTAATACAATAGCAAGCGACAACGGAAACAAGTTGTTTCAAATTAATTTAATTAAAAAAATTTAATTAAAAGAATTTTAATTAAAATAATTTCAGAAAATAGGTTCTAACTCTAGATTCTCTACACCTGCTTACAGCTTTCAAATAGATTGGCAGAAAGATGGAACAAGTCCTTCAAGCAAATGTTACTTAGTGCTGAACCTTCGAACAGGGATAAGCACATCCCGTACTTAGTCTTTGCGTACCGAGAAGTACCGAACTGAACCACCGGAATCTCAACATTTCAGGTGACGTACGGAAGACAACCAAGAAGTCCTTTAGCAGTAATGAATCCTTTCAGGACCTTTTGGATGATGATCTCTCTTGATGGAGAGAAATTCATGAGTCGGGGAAGAAAAACTTATACAGAATACGCAGAAATCGCCTACCTACTCACTAAAAAGAAGCCCCCGAAAATACTCGAATGGAGAGAAATTCATGGTCGGAAGGATCCCCTGTATCACCTAATCTAAGCTAATCGGCGACGGATTACTTACAGAATTTTAAAATAAAAATTGGAGCAAGCAACCGAACAAACCAAGTTAATTGCAAGTGAGAAACAACAAAATTATGCTGAATATTTTAAACCGAAGATTAGTACCAAAAATTTCAAAATCGGAGACAAGTTTATTTACTCATCCCAGATTCAAATAACAAACTCTATGCACGTTGGCCTGGACCAGGAGAAATTATACACCTCATTCCTATAAAGTAAAACTATCCGACAGAAAGATCAAGCATGTGCATTCAAATAAAATTCGAAAATTTCAAGCTAACATCAGTGCAGTTGGAGAGATATTTGAAAATGAAGAAGAATTAGGAGAAATTATAACTTTTCCAAGAAAAGAATTCTCAGATCCCTAGGCAAACTTAAAATGCATAGAATTAGGTTAATACGAAACATAGAGAGTAGAAACTTTACTTCTACAGAGTTCCTGAAGCATTGAAAACCAAGGTTGACCAAAACGTAGAAGATTTATTGAAATCAGGACTAACAGAAGAGAGTAATGCAGAAATACCTCACCCAATATTTTGCCTAAGCAAGGAAGACAGAAACATCAGACTATGTGTAGACTATAGAACATTGAATGCAGCGACAAAAACCAGATGAATTTGTTATGGAAAATTCCATCAATTTGAGGTACATTATAGGTAAAGTAACTCTCGTAACAATATTGGATTTACTAAAAGGATATTGGGCTGAACCGATGGAAGAACGAAGTAAAGAATACACATCTTTCAAACCTCATCGAGGTCAATATCAGTTTAAAGTGTTAACTTTTGTCTACGAAACGCAGCAACAATTTCAAAGAGTAATGAATAATGCATTGACAGAATTTCAACAATTTTCAAGAGCCTATATTGACAACATAGCTACATTTTCCACCGGTTTCGACACTTATCTCCAGGATTTGAATAAGTTTTCAATGAACTTTAGTCATTTGGATTCACTATCAATTCGAAAAAATTTTCTTTCGCAAAATCACAGATTAAATATTTAGTACACATTATCGGATCGGGGAAATATCAACCAGATACCGAGAAAATAATGGCACTCAAGAAACTGGAAACATCTTAAAATTTTTTTAGGATTGCGTAATTACTATTGCGATTGCATCCCAGGATATGCAGAGATTGCCTACCTACTCACTAAAAAGAAAACACCGAAAATACTCCAACGGACAAGAAATTCATGAGTCAGCATTTCGACTCTTCAAGGAGCGATTAACGAGGTCGACGGAACTGATCACTCCCAACACCGCAGAATTCGTTTCGTCGTTCATTCAGACGTATCGTAAGTCAAAGGAGGTGGGTGTTTATCGGAACAAAGGAGGAGAAAAAAAATTTCCCTAGTGTTACTCGAGTAAAAAAACTGGTCAAAACCCCGACAAAACTGGCCGACTAGCATGAAGCTTGGGCATTAAAAAGGTTTGAACCATGGGTATTCGGTTCAACTGTGAAACTTGTGACTGATCACAGTCCACTAGCATTTATACTGAGAAATACTCTGCAAATTGCAACGATGGGCCATAGCATTGCAGAATTATAATCTAGAAATAGAACATAGGCTCGGAAAAAATATGTCTAATGCAGATGCGTCATCCAAACTCCCCATCAGAGAACACTGAAAGTTACTTGTTAGTTTCGCCCAACATTTAGTATAATTAGTGATTAAGCAGTTTTCCTTTTCTTAATAATTTTACAATTTTGTGCAAATGATATGATGGATTAATTAATTGAGGCAAAACACTTAAGGAAACAGATGTCTTCGTGGAGGTTTTAGTGAAGTAAAATGGTCACATTTACATTATGCATCAAGAAAACCCATGTGGATAGCTCGTTTACCAGGATCTGAATCCGAGATGAACTACTAGTGTTCAATGGTCTAATTTACTCAGCCACCATTTGGCTTGCTTTGCTCACTTTTACGCAAAACTTTTTACTTCGCATTTTGATTCCAAAAAAAGTCCACGAATAAATTTTTTGCTTTATTTGAATTCATTTAATGCTTTCATTATTTACAACAACCGTGTAAATACCCATTTATTAAGTACAAATTCGAATTCTAATCTCTAGAATCTTTTCTCTGATAAGCTTAACTATTAATAATTGTGTGCTTAATTTTACTTTCTTAATCTTTTCAATACTAAAGCAAAGTATAATTACGATTTAAGATGTCATATGGACTGCATATATTTTGCTTTCTGGTTTCCAAAAATTACGGTTTTGAATGTTTTTGTAAAATTCTGCAAACAACGTCCATTAATCTTCATTAAAAACGGTAAACAACATCTTTAAGGAACAAATTTTATGCTGAAGTGAATTAAACACCATGAACATCTAGATGTTCAATATGCTAACTATATCTATGCCTATTTAGATGCTAAACAACGTTTAATGCGAAATGCATGGAAGAAAGGATTAAATAGGTCAGAGCAGTTCAGTTTTCCTAATGTTCCTAATTTGCTTCGTGGCTGCTTTTTTAAACGTATATTTTCTATCCAAACATACCGATATTTTATTATTTGTAATCTCGAAAAATGCTATTAACTGTTCCTTGCAATCAGAAGTGACCTGAGTAATAAATGCGTCAAAAAGGGTTTAACTTACTCTTAAAACACTGAATATTTTGGTGAGAACAAAGAATTCAGTAGAGTAAGCAACGAGCGTTTAAGAATCCTTATAATTACCACAAAGATGATGAGCAATAAGGAATGCCACCTTTCACCTCTAAAGGTAAAGCAAGTCGTATTAAGGGCATTGAGATACAGGTTAATAATAATCTTATCCTTGAATCTCATTTTTATGGACATTTAGGGATCTTTCTTTAGCGCAGAAAAGGATGTTTTAAAGACTATTTCTAAAACCTACCTGTAAAGACGGACTGCACCATATAACCTTTCTATCAGAAATATGTTTTTTGCTTATGAACTCTTTTTTTTTTTCTTTTTCTTTTTTTTTTTTTTTTTTTTTTTTTAATTTAGCTTGATTTGCTCCACTGATAGCAATATAATATTCCACAACGATGTTTTTAGCATTCACGGTCGATTATCTTCTATGTAGTGATAAATGTTTCATTTATTATTCTTGCTTCATGAACAAACATCGCAGCTTTTTTTCATTTTATTTTCCTTTTTCTTCAATTTTTCCCCCCGTGCAACTGTTAACAACTAAGGATTTTTAAATCAAAGATTTAATCTGACATTGATAGTAATTCAATGATTTTATGTGAAAATGAGTTCGAATTTTTAAATCAAACAGAAATTTAAATGAATTCAATCTTACACCAACAGATAGATACTAAAAAGAGCTTAAGAGCTTTAAAGAAAGATGATATTACATACCTCATTGCTACACTGATTAAAACGAATAATTATCCTACCTTCAGATCTAGTGACTACCATCATTATTTTTTTTCTATTTTATGGGCTAAGAAGTATCAAATTATCGACGCATTGTTTTTTTTTTCCAAGCAGAAAACATTAAAAATGAGATATGTCTTTGCCGGGATTCAAATCACGGATCTGCTGCTTGGTAGCCGGACATTCTTACGATTACACTAAGTCAACAAACAGCATGTAGAGAAGAAATTGATAATGCCTTATAAAATGACATATAAGCAAAAATAATTTTTAAGTGACGCGGTTTTAGTTAAAGGAAATAAAAAGTTAAAAGACTTTTCTAGCTGTTACAATATTCTTGGCCGTATCAAGACTAAAAATCCCTCTTAGAGCTTTGAAAATATCTTCTTTATGGAAATTTCCAAAATATCGCTCAGTTTGGAGAGAAATCGCCAGATGTTACCAGTTTGGACAGAAAAATTATTGCCAATGCCAGGAGAGATTACTGCTCATATATCCAGTTCTATTTGAGAAACCTAATGATATATTGAGAAACCTAATGATAAGTAACTCAATTAAGCAATTTAAAAAATAATAAGCAAAATAAAACATAAAAGTAAAATAAGTGGCCATTGTTTTCTCGTGGTCATTCAATCATTTATAAAAATAAAATCTATACCTAAGTAACAGAAAAAGATTCGCAATATTTAAGAATATATAAAAACTAAATTGCAAAGAAATAAATGCGAATATTACCACAAATTACAGTGTCATGTTACAATTATAATCCTTACATGTTTGAAGCTTTTTTTAAAACAACTCTTAAATCTTACAAACTTAGGCACAAAACTCAAATATAAGACATTTTTAAGCTTAGTGCAAACAAGTTCCCATCTATTAAAAATTCTTTAAACAGTACAGACCGAAATTAAGGTAAATTAATCTTTTTGCTGAGATATCTTCACAGAATATACTGTTTAACGAAGATATGCCAATTGCATCTTTTCCCGGTACTTAGCTTTATAGTTAATTCAATAGCCGTATCGAGTGAAGCAAATATAAATCACATATTTAGCTGATAGCACGTAAAAACTAACCTGTGGCTCGTGTAGGTGGAGGTTTCCCTGGGCAGCACACACCAACTTCTCCATTATCTATGGTACAAGCGGAATCTTCTAGATCACGAACACTTTCAAAGCGGAAAACACAGAGACCTGCTGGTCGGCAAAGTCCAACTCCGCCATCGTAAGCAATACATCTGTTTTCTGGGATTTCCTCCATAGCGGGAAAAACCACAGGAGTGTCTTCCGTAGAACCTGTGGAAATTTGCGAGAAACCAAACTTGATAGTACAAAGAAATGAGTAATTTTCTAAAGAATATATGGTTTTCAGGCAGAATTTAAGTTTGAATACTTATTATTTGAATACTATAAGATATTATTTAAAATTATTTACTTTGTCTCTTGAATCGTCCATGGAGACTAACTTGGGTAGGTCGAAGAGATAGCAAAAGAACATTAATCAACAAAAACACATCTGTGGACATCATAATCCGTCACCAGTCCATCGCAGAAAGAGATATAATCATGTTTCACTTCCCAAAGTTGACGACATGAACAAATGAAGTAATAACTTGGAGTCTAAACCTGAGCAATAATATTAACAAGATTAATGATAAAATTATTAATGCAGAAAAATTTCAAGCATGGTGATATTATTTAACAATCAGTTTCTGGGGTTTCCTTTATTTTTCAGAACAAATTATTTTAAGTTTGATATCTTTCCAGAACTCCTCAACTTCCCGCACATTTCCTCGTCAGGATGTAAGTTTAAAGTGAGTATTTAAACGGGTGAATCTCTGAGTTTATTCAGAGCGTGTTTTCGCTAGCCAGCGCACTCATCGCTGCTATCTCGCTGTTAAGCTAGTACGCCCCTTAGCCATTTCGGATAATTGTCACACCTATTAGGTTTTGTTGAATCAACCTAAGTTAGCCATACTTTACCGTGCTAACACAAAACTATTCAAATTAGACTTTGAATTGATTTATATTCTACAGTTAAGTTTCACCGCAAGTTGACGGTGTTATTGCACTAAGATCTTGCCTTTCTGTTATTAGTTGGAATGAGTAAAGAATTATTTTCACCCTTCGTCTCTGCCGGTACTTCATTCACATCTGTGCGAGAATTCGCCAGGTACATTGCATCTAGTTTAATTTATGTGGAATGGAAGAGACCGATCTTATAAGTTTTGGCCAAACAGAGAAAAAAGTTGTAACAACGGCAATTTTACTTCAAATTAAAACTAGCTAAATCCTACTGCTGAAAATGCATATAAACACGTTGTGACTTTTCTAACTTGTTTGACACTAACATCGGAACAATTCCATGAATTTTAACGTGCTGAGGAGCGCTGGATTCCGTCTGACGTTGGCATTGACATTTTGTAAGCAACAGTAACACTTACCCAGTTACTTCCCAGTTTTGAAGCTGTAGGCACCATCTCAAATGGTAAGAAATATGTCCATAAGGGTATCAAATATGTCACACACCATTAAAATTCAGTAGCCAACTTCCAGGTTACCGAAAGAGTACTACATGGTTCTTATGAAATTCGGAATTAACATCATTTGATTATTGCCTCCAACACCTCTTCCGTCACACTCATTGTTAATGTTCATCCACTGGCCATCATCATCATTCCATTGACACCACTAAGTGTCTGCATGATGTAAACAAAGGATTTTTAAACTATTTTTTTAATTTTCAAATTTCATGTGATGCCTTCTCGTGATTCGTCTGAATATTTTATCACAAGAACTTTTCTCTACGGGTTACCTGAAAGCCTTAGCATAAAGCCATATATAACTATGTATTTCTCGTTTATATTTCACTTCAAATGACAGATATTAGCTAATAGCTTACTTACATGGCCAGCAAATCCTCCCACCTTTTTACGATGCAATTCGTCAGTAACTGTCTAACCGATTGCTGATTCGAGAAGATGGAGCTATTGTCTACTAGCTACCAATCTCAGGGAGATCATTAATAAAATGACCCCGGACAGCTGAATAAATACATTTTCCAAATCTGATGATCGAAAGGCCTAACAGTTGGAAAGGCACGGCGATACCTAATGTACTTTTAGGAATGCACAGGTATATAGCTATAGTAAAATGAACTGATTTTACTATGTCTTTCTTCAACCAGTATCTATACCATTAAAAACTTAAATTTGGCAGCAGCACATCATTGCATGCCGTTAGAATCGTAGTATTCCCACTGTTACACTTGATGTTTAAACAAAAGCTATCAGCCAAAGTCAGTCAACTGAAAAGATATGTAGGCATGAAATGCACATCTGTACACAAAGCACAACAGGGGTAGCAATATTTACGGACCATTCTGTTTATCTTAGAAGGAGCGGAAAACTGTCTAGGAGGAAAGCTGCTTTCCAGATAATTAACTCAAAGGAAAAAACCACGAAAATGCCACGTAATCAATCCATTTCACTTTCCGTAATAGAATGCATAATGAATAATTTTTAGTTAAATGGTCTTAAACATTCAGCTCCTGGAATGCATCACACAGATGCTCGAAAACTACCGCATCTCCCAACGACATTCACCTCAAAACTTGCAAGGGTGTTAAAGCATGACGAAAGAGCAATAATTGCGTCAGCTCGCAATTGCCTGTATCTTAGAGCAGGTCGTATAAAGTGGCGTACGTGCCAGCAATGCATCTATAAGGATTGAGGAATTCTATGTCAACAGAGATTATGTGACAATCGATGGCTGAAAAAGTTGTACGTATCATACACATCCTCGCTATACAGCATCTTATATTAGAAAAGACGAAGAGAAAAAACTGCGTGGCGTGGACGCAATCAACTGATTTTACTATGTCAAAAGGTAAAAACTTCCTTTCTGGCTTCCTGTAACGCGTAAAGTGGCCAAATTTGCAGTGCACTTATTGCATCAGGTGGAAGTGCATTTCTTAACATTAAATTTGGTGCAATTTATTATTGTGATTTAGACCTTAGATCAGGACAATTTATCATTACATTTATCAATTTATTATTAAATTATTCAGGCCAATTTATTATTACGTTAATCAGGCCAATTTATTATTACATTTTAGGCCAGATTAATATTTAAAAATTTTTTTAATCGAGATATTGAGTACAGTGAAGTTTTTAATTCACTTCAGGAACTATTTATTTTGTTAACTTTACATCTAATTGTTGAGATCAGTTCGAGTTACGGTGTAAAATAAAACAATAAAATAATTTATCCACTTTCGTTTAATCTTAATTTGATATTATTTATTTATTATTTAATTTCGTTTAATCTTCGTTGGATTAATGTATCGCTGTATACAACAACAACAAAGAAAGAGACTTGCTTTAGAACACTGCAGTATGAAATTTGTAAAAAAATATCGCTATCATTAAGTACAAGGCGTCTAAAATGGAACTATCACGCTACCTAAATAGGACCATTCTTTTCTTTCAGTTGTTTTGCAAAACTTCAGCTACAGAAACCGCTCGAGAGCTTGCTATAGAGCTAGATGTTAGTGCCATGTCCATTAGTTGCTCTATGCATCGCATAAACTTGGAGTACAAGTTCAACCGCTGGGGGCCGCATGAGCTGACTCAAGCAGATGAGGACAGATGTGTTCGGGCCTGCACTAATCTGCTCGAATATCAACGCGAGGGACAAAATTCTGATGAAAGGTGGATTTATTTCAACAGAACAGACCGAAAAGAGGGCTGATCTATGCCCGGTGGAGTCGCAAAGCGCAATTTGACTAACAAAAAGATCATGCTTTGTATCTCGTAGGATTGCCGTGGTATTATCCACAAAGATTATCTAAAAAAGGTAGAACCCTCGACAGTAAGGTGTACAACGAGATGCTAGTCCGTGTTGACGCTGCTGTCAGAGAAAAACGTCGAACTGAGTTCCGGCGCAAAAAAAAGTAATCTTCCATCACAATAATACTAGACCCCAAGTGTCTGCATACACCGGCTGTACTCAAATGGGATCTTTTGTCACCCACCAATAATATACCTCCGATATCGCTCCTTCGGACTTCCATCATTTTTTTCACACCTGCAGCTTCATCTTGCTGGTGCTATCTTGCATTATGCACGGGACGTTCGAAATGAGGTAGATCTGTTTTTGGACTCGCAGCCACTAAGTTTCTAGGCCGAAGGCTTTGAAAAACTACCAAAACGTTGACAGGAAAGCGTAGATTTTGGAGATGATTACTACCTGCACTAAAGGTACCAGAGATACTGCTTTCATGTTTTTCCTCCCCCCTAACTTTTTTCAGAACACCTAGAATTTTGATTTTGCTTCCTCGGTTGTATGAAAATATTATCTCTCATTTGAAGACTGTTGAAATCTCTTAAGTAATTTATTTATTTTGAGTAATTTTCCAAAATTTTTATCGATATTTTAGCTTTCGTACAGATGCTAAAAAAGAACTTACTTTTAAGGGGACATGTGACATATTGACTGGCGAAATGCAACTATTTCGGGACAAAGGTTATTACGGTATAACTTTTCTCAAAATAAACGTATAAATTCTTTTTTCATTTAAAATAGACAGCTTATAGATTATATAAAACACATACAATATAAATTTAAAGCTTAATGTTTTTAAAAAAACCAGTTGTTTAATTTCTCTTTCCTTTGACAATTCTTTTGTGACAGTGTGCTAGTTTGGTACACTTTTCTTAAAAAATACTGCACCAAACTCCTTCAAATTTTGCATGATGGTTAAAAACATAACATTTGAGAATAATAAGTAGTATTTCACATTTTACTTAAAAAGAAAAAATATTAAAAATAAATTAGTGAAATGATTTGAAAATCATAGAAAAAAATGGTATGAAATTTTTAATATATCCAAAACTAAGGATCATAAATTTTATATCCTGCGTATTTTCAAAGAAATAGTTAAGGTAAACAACTGTGAAAAATTTAAAACGTTTGGAGAGAAACTGAAAAAACAATTTAAACATTAATAATTTATTTAAAAAAATCATTTTAACATTTTCCTGCACCATAATCATCTTGAACTGGTATTTCTACATCTAGTTATTTTTGTTTTATTAATTTACGTTTCTTTCTGGCCATTTTAGAAAGCTTTTGGTAAGCGAGATGGGCCTCAGGAATTCTATCGCCGTCTATTTTCGGAAAACCTTTAGCGCATAAAACCCTGGTTGTATTCCCAATAATTCCATTATTTGCATATCATCGTTAAAACATATTACCGCATCTAACAAACCTAATTTTAATGTGATGGCACTCACAAAAACTGTTTTTGGTATGCATGTCCAGATGCAATTATTAAAACGTTCATTCGGGCTTTGAGTTCTTCTTGTTCACTTGTCTGACGTGTAGCAGCACAAGGAGCACCTGTCGTTGACCAGGTGACAGAGACTTACAGGTGACAGTGCGATTTAGCTCAGTTAGTTCCCCAATTTTGATGGAGAGCACCCCAGGGGGGACGGGTCCGAAGGTGTCCCACCCTTCTTCCCCTACCATCCACCTCTCGAGAGGAATTTCGACTGCATATTTCAGGTGCTTCCATGCCGCACGGACATTATACACTTACAAATATCAATGCTTTCTCCAAGATTCGAATACGGGTCCTTCGGTACGGCAATCAGCGTCGCTAACCATTATACAGGTTTAGCGGTGGTTTTGACTTCTTGCATGAATGCAATTTGACAGTATTTTTTTTTGTCAGAGAGACTTCTAAAGACCTCTTCTCAGCTAATTCAACAGGTTCTAACAAAGAAGTGTGTCTGAACATACTTGTGTCTAGTGTGGCTTTATTGCTGCCACACCAGTGAACTGGTGGGCTTGCTAGTGCTTGTTTACAATTTTTAATGAAAGATTTCGGTCTTAAAATTTCTAAACATAGATAAGTTATATATTTTTGGACTCGTCTCAGGCTACTTTATTTTTTAGCCCAAAATTGTAAATTTGAATATTTGAAAATTTTTATGTCATATGTCCCTTTAAAATCTCTCATTTTTTGCAGTCAGTATCATAAAAAAGGATTTCTTAATCAAGCAGAAATTGAAATTTGAACATAATCTTGCACTAATGCAGAGACCGAAAGACCGTGAAAGAACGCGATAGCATGCTTCATCGTTACGCTGAGTAGGAGGAATAAATTTCCTAAGATATCTTAGTTCTTTCTAATTGTTGGAATATTATTGCAGGAATCGAGTTAATGCCTCCTTTTATTATCTGACCTCCTATGGATTAAAAATATAAAATAAAATGTATGTAAGTGAAGAAAACTTATGCATTTTTAGTTAAAAGCGTTAAAAAGTAATTTTTTAACTATCTCATAACTATTATCTATCACATCAATAATCTATCATGATTCCAAAATTTTAATAGTCTTCACCGTAGCACCTGAACTAAAATATGGCGGATGATAACCTGCCATTACTTGGATTTAGCGCAGTGAATCGCGTGCCTCTTGCCGATTTCACCCTTTAAATAGAAGGGATTGTATGGAATGTTGGCTTTCCCCTTGTGTACTCTTATAGTTTAAATGATTAGTGTATCCAGCTAACACTGGGAGATCCTTGGTTTGAACTGCCCCAAAGTGCACAGTTAATTCGTCACATTTCTTGCTCTAAGAACAGGGGCGTAGCTAGAGTTTCCAGCGCCCGGGGACAATTGAAGAATTTGCGCCCCTTTCTGTGTGCCAAGAATATAAAACGTTTCATTAAAAAATTTCGTAGCATGAATTCGGCGCCCCTTGGACGCTGCGCCCGGGGAAAGATGATCCCCCTTGCCCCACCCTAGCTACGCCACTGTCTAAGAAATATCGGAAATCTGTGGCGAATTACCATCCACCATTTCTAATTCGAGTGTCAGATACAAACAAGAGAAGTCTGAGTGTGAAAAACAGAATAAAGCATGGTGCCTCCTAATTAACCGACTCATTATGCTTTTTTCTGCATCACAAAAACACTTGGATAAAATGGTAATTTCTTGACGTTAATGTGAGAAGAATCAAGGAGGAATTACTAATACTCAAACAAAAAAAAAAATTTGCAGCGAATTTTCTGTATCTTTAACTTGCTGGTCTTCTGAAGATACATTTAAAGTATATCATAATACAAGATCATGTGTCAAGATTTATGTCTGAGAATCCATTGGTTGGTTGGTTAGACCATTTTCTGTATTTTTAACTTGCTGCTTATCTTCTGAAGATACATTTAAAATATATCAAGATACAATATGGTGTGTCAAGGTTTAGGTCTGAGAATCCGTTGGTTTCAATGGATTTGGCGGTGATTATCGAGATCACTAACATCTAATATGATGATAATTATTAAAAAAAAGTATATTTAAATAGCTTTCACTCTTCCTGACTTTTTATGATAAATGCAAGCAGTAAATCAGAATTTTAGTCTGTAAAAAGCGCTAACTTAATCTCCAAACTAAGAAATGCGGTTTTATTTGATAGTTTACTTATCCAACTGACGTTTATTTACACCACTAGAATATGAACGTAATTTATTAAGTATAAAATTGGATTACGAACGTGATATATATAAAATAGCAATATTAGAATGCAAACGGGATCTACTGAATACCAACATTAAAATGTGAAATTGGACTTTTCAATGACAGCATTAGGATATGAATTGATTTACAGTCTACGAGTCAGAATGCAAACATGATCTAGTAAATAACAAAGCAGAGTATTAAATATGATTTATTAAATAGCAATAGAACATGAATGGGATGTAATAAATAGCAACATTTCCCTATGAGACTGATCTGCTAAATAAGCAATATTAGAATGTGAACGCTGTGTTCTAAATAGCAATATTAGGATATAACTGAAATCTGCTATTAAAACATATGACATGAATGGCATCTGTAAATAGTAACACCGGAATATAAATGTATTCTACCAAATAGCGACATTTACTAATGAATTCAAAACAAAGAAAAAATTTCTCTCTGCTAAAACATTTTGATGTATCAAATTAGTTAATGTAAACAAGTAGAAAAAAGATACGAAAATACTTACAATTCACAAAATGCTCTCCTTTTCCCAAATTCCGATGTTATATAGATATCTTTAACTTTTATTTCTACCATGCAAATAAAGCTTGAACAGGCTAATCCTATAAAATGAGCAGGATTGCGTTGATAATAAGTTTTTTTACTGACAGACCTAACGTGAGAAATGAAAATCGTCTGATATTAACATTACACAGCTTCAAGGAAACGCTGATTAGCTGTGGTCCAGAATGAAGGTAGAAGTGGAGAGTGCAAGCATTCACGAATGAAAAACAATTTTGCTCGGAGATTTTCAAGGTGAAAGCGATTCTGAGGCGGCATTGGGTCACTAGAAAACCGCGTTTCGTGAAACACGCGAATGGAAGCTTTCGTCACTAAACAGGATTTTTCTAAGATACGCGGAAACCTGGTTTATGAGTCGAAGATAAATGCGCAACTTAAAACTCGCTTTTGTCAAACTGTGCGAGTTCATTGTACCAAACTCACTCAGGCAATGGAGATGAGAAAACTTCATGCGAAGTGATTATTTGTTTCAGGCCTTCGTAATAAGTAAATAATAAGTACCCTGTAATAATACACCTGTTAGATGAGGGATTCCAAACCCTTGCATCGACCCTTTTTAAAAGAATGGTTTTCTTCATTGACCCCTTACATTTTTCTCTATATCATACAACATACAAAATAATTATAATACAAATCATTTTACGTAAATACTTATAACAGTTAGACTAAGAATATGAACATAAGTTGTGAAAAGAAGTTTGTTATGAAACTTTTTTTCGAAGTTCGATATTTCATTATTTTTGTATCATTATTAATTTTAATTTTACAAATATAAACAAGTTTTCAGAAACAACAAACAGATTTTAATTTCTCAAAAACTCAATTTTAATAAGTGTAGTAGTGGCTGTACTTGATATATTGATGCATTTTTATTTTATTTGGCAAAAAATTGCTTAACTTGATCCTCAAATTACCTCGTTAAAAAGTATTCAACTTGTTTCTTGGTTTCGGTACTAAATTATCGATTTAACTAAAGCCTGCTTTCACTAATTAAGAACAGAGAAAAGTCGATAATTTTGGTTTTGTAACAAATTTCTATTTTCGGCTATTTCTCTAACTTTAAAATTCCAAAACTTAGCGTACACGTATATTTTTAATAAGACCTGGAATTGAACATCATCTTTTTGTGTAATCAACTCTTCTCGCATGTCAAAATCAGATAAATCACAGTTCAGTGGTTCCAATAGTGGTGCTACTCAAATTTTCAATGTGCTGGAAGAAAATATCAAAAATCTTTTAAATTTTGCAAATTACTTGTACACTCGTGTTGAAAATTAAGAGAATTTTCACATTATATCGAGTATCTGAAAAAGTAATGGACAGGTTTTAATGAAATTTGGCATGAATATACATTTATGACAGAGAAATGGATGTACCATTCAAAAGTCATTTTATGTACGCAAGAATTAAGACTAAAACTCATAGTGCAGAGTTATCCAGAATCCACGGTTATGATATCAAACTGGAAAACAGTCTAACAGACAGGTCACGCAGTGCGACGGCGTACCGGACAGGAGGCAGTTAAGGAATCCCTATGGCTGTCGATCCCACTCCTGCAGCAAGGCAGTTTCCAAAGCCGGAGATGGTTCCCAAAAGAGGATGGCAGGAGGATACTGCCCTCCCAAGAGAGTATATGCAATACATCTGATTCCTCCTTAGAATCTAAAGCTATCTGCTTCAGACATCGGGTTGCTAAAAATGAAGCAGAGGAAAGACTATATATAACCCTTTCCAACTTGTACGTGTGTACTTCATCATGGAACTGTATCGCCATATTATCAGTTGATAATTCTAATCTTAAGGGGCTACCATCACCTGACGATACATCTTCTCTACGTCGGCGTGAAAACAATTTTAGGAAATCGAAAATTAATCAAAATCTCAAAAATATCTCTTTCTAATTTCGGACCTACCTTAAAGTGAATTCAATGATATTCCGTTTTCATATTTACAAGATGCATCCAAAACTGTTTTCACTTTTCTCGTTCTGCTAGAAGGTTTGGTGATAGCGTGATGAGGAAGATAAAACTTTTCTGCATCCGATTTGTTAGATAAATTATCATTAATCGCAGTTATATGACCTAATTGCTCATATTCACACATCCTTATACAGCTTTTCAAATTCCGGATTACCTTCGAATTTTCGTTCCATGGAACGTAACCTAGAAATTGCTGCCGGTTTCGAATCACCCAACTTCAAATGCGATTTATAAAACGGAAGTTTTAGAACAAATCTCCCATCTGAATTACAAGAACGTTTTGATATTGTGATTCCCAAAATTGTTCCTCAGGTATAAGAAATTCATTCTTCCCCACATCGAGAATATCCTCCATTTCCTAGAAACGCTTAAGCTCGTAATCAATATTTATATTATCTTCTAGTTTTATAAAATGTGAATTCGCTGTTTTGGGGCTTTCCATATATTAGTTCCGACGCAATCATCCAACCGAAAATTGTATTTTGAGATACCGGCTCATTTTTCAAACCATATATTTGACCACACTTTAGGACAGATAAAAAGTGATCAGCTCCCAAAATCAAATCAATTTACGTGGGGTGAAGAAAATTTTGGATCTGCTAATGGAATAAATTTGATATATTTTCTTTACGCTTTACATTACCGACTTGTTCCGGCAATGGCAAAGTTAACCTATCCAAATGCGTTTACGTCAATTCTTTCGCTATTTAACCTCGATCCAATTTTTAAACTAGTCGAGCCACAGGTCTTGGTAGCTGGCACTCCTCCAATTCCACGAAGTAACCGTTGGTTTCTTCGTTTTAATCCTAATCTTTGAACAGCTCGTTCAAAAACAAACGAAGTTTTACTGCCTGAATCCAATAATAATTTAATTTCGATAGTATCACCGCCAGAGGAAATTGTGAATGCGAAAACTGTAAGCAAAGTCGCCGAATTGCAATTTTGAACTGTATTACTCACAACATGACCTTGAACCTCGCATGATTCCCTCGAAATTCTCTCTAGAGCCCTTTCGTTTTCATTTGGAGCTTTCAAAAGCTGTACATGTTGTTGTTGTTACTTATGCTCACTTGTCTGACGTAGTCAACCCAAGCCCACGAAATTCCTCGTGGCAAAGAGCGCAAGATACGCTCGCGTTGGCAATAGCCTTGAGCACCATACAGGTCACAGTGGGATTTTACTCATTTCCGCCCCCCAATTCCGGTGGAGAGCACCGCAGGAGAATGTGCCCGAGCGTCTCCCACCCCTCTCATTTTCCACTAAACCACACGAGAGGACTTTCGGCCCTCCGCATATTTAGAGTGCCTCAATGCCGCACAGACACTATACATTTACAAACATCCATGCCTTCTCCGGGATTCGAATCCGGGCCCTTCGGCACGGCAGTCAGCGACGCTAAACACTATACCGGTCGGGCGGCAAAGCTGTACGTTGCTAGCTTTAAGATCTTCAAACGCAACAAACTATTATGTGTTTTTGAATTACACAACTTACACTTTAACTGAGAATTACAGTTTTTGATTAGATGCGAATTCAAACATGAAAAACAGAATCCGTGTTTTCTCACAAAGTTTTTCTGGTAGAAACATCCAAATTCTTAAATTTAACACATTTATATAAAGCTCGAATTCTATTACATTTCTGACATTTACGGGGTTGTAAATTAAATAGTGGCAACTTAACCTTGAAACTCGCAGAAGGGCAGGCATGCACACATAGGATATGGGAACGGTGAAGTGGCGTTGTTGTCGATGTGTAGAGTGCAAAAAACAGTCGATCTGCTTAGAAGGGTAGTTGTTGTGTGGCGTTAAAGTGAGGAGTTTCGTTTCCATCACTCTAAAGCATGTTTTGAAAAGGTGATCAGCGGTCATGGCTTAAAATCAAGGTTGCCCGTGGCAAAAATGCAAGAGAATGCTATCGAGGATTAGTGAAAGCCCGTGGCACAAATGCCTTACCGTATACGACAGTAGCACGATGTGTTCAAGGATTTCGTTCGGGTCGGAATGAGACTGCGGATTTGCAATGCACAGGTCCGCCCTCCATTCCTCAAGAGCAGATTGAAATCCTGAGCGGTCTCCTTACCATAGACCGCGGATGGACTATCCGAGAATTATTCTTAGAGGTTAGTCTGGTGTGGCGCATAATGAAGAAATCTCTCAATACGAGGAAAATTGCTTCCCACTGGGTTCCACATCGACTAACCGAAGAACAGAAATGGCACCGGTATGCACTGGCTGGGACCCACTTGGAGAGATACCGCAATGAAGGAGACGCATTTCTGCAGCGTATTGTCGCCATTGATGAGACATGGGCACGAGCCTATGAGCCTGAATTAAAGCGTCAATCAAATGAATGGCGTCACCAAGGTTCGCCACATCCCCAGAAATTTCGACAGGAACCCAGTCGGGGGAAGATTACGCTGATTATGGCATACGACTGGGACGGTGTGATACTTACACATGCTGTATCTGAAGGACAAACTGTCAACGCAGATTACTATTACCGATTTCTACAGCACCATCTGCGTTCAGCCCAAACGTCACGTTTATTGCACAACAATTACCCTATCGTATTGCATGACAACGGTCGTTGCCATGTCGCAAACAATGTCACTCTCCTTTTGCGACGGTGGCAGCGAGAAATCCTGGACCACCCTCCCTATTCACCCGACATGAGTCCTTGTAACTTCGATCTGTTTCCGAAGTTGAAGGAACCCCTCCAAAGTCACCGATTCCATGACGTTTCATCTGTACTCCACGCAGTAGGGCGCTTGGTCGCTCACATCAACAATCAACACCTTGCCATTGGTCTACAACGGCTTCCCGACATTTGGCAAAAGGTTATAAGCTTTGCTGGTGATTTACATAGAAGGAATGTAATGCAACTGTACTTGTAAGTGCACTAAAAATTTATTTATACCTATGTTGCCATTACTTAATTTACAGCCCTCGTAGTATTACTTAATTTAGAACTTTGTAACGTTTTAGAACTAACATTAGTTCTAAAACGTTACAGAATTAACTTTTAGAATTAACTATTTTGATAAATGATTTAAGCTTCTTTATTTATGATAATTTTCGATTGTTCTTTATTTCTGACTCCTCACCGAAAATTATGAAACTGATTCAATAATCAAATTACGAATTTTCTCACATCTTTTGAAGTCAATGAAATAGTCCGAAGTCTTGTCTTGTATGCCAAAGAGGTTTATTTGGGGATAACACGGCATATACTTTGAAAAGCAAGAAATATGAAGTTGATCAGAAGCAT